GTGGAATTAAAATAACATACCCACTAGAAAGGCTCAAATAAAAAAAAAGTGGAGCAACTATTACTCTCATTGATGGCAAGAGTGTAAAAAGGTACAAATACTTTGGACAATAATTTTCCACTTACCATTTGACCTAGAAATTGCACTGTTAATTGTTTACTCAAGAGAAATGAAAATGTATAACCACAAAAGACCTATACTAGTACATGAATAGTCATGACAGGTTTATTCAAAATAGCTTCAACTGGAAAAATCTAATAATTGTAACATATTAGTACATTAGAATTTTATTCAGCAATACAAAAAAAAAAAAACAAGCTGCAGACACATCCAACAACGTGAATAAATCTCAAAAATATTATCTAAGCAAAAGAAGTCAGATACACACAAAGTACATTTTGACATTCCAGTCTGAAGTAACTATAATACATTCAAGTGAATACATCAAGAAGCAATTGAAAATTAGGACTGGATCTTAGAAGAGAACTCAGAATCAAATATGTAGGGAGGTTTAGGATGAAGAAAACCAATGCAGAATCCTGAGTAAAGATTAGCATTTTAGGGACAGGAAGGGAAGGGAAGGGAAAGGAAGAGAAAGGAAGGGAAGGGGAGGGAAGGAGAGGGAAGGAGAGGGAGGGGAAGGGAAGGAGAGAGAAGAAAGGAAAGGGAGGAGGGAGGGGAGGAAAGGGAGGGAGGGAGCGATTGAGGGGCGAGACAGGAGAGGTGAAGTTTCTTCAGGAAGGGCAACTCGGTAAGCTCGGCAGGACGGGCCTAGAGAAACGGCCGGGAATGAAGCCCGGGGAATGGAAGGAGGGCATTGCCTTCTTCCCCATAGTGAAGAGCACTCCCGCCCCTTCGAATAAGGAGGAAAGCCAGAAGAAAGTAATAAGAAATAAGAAAAATTCTGGGAGAGGACATTCTGTGTCAAAAATCCTAGAGCTGTGGTTCTCAACCTTTCTAATGCCGCAACCCTTTACTACAGTTCCTCATGTTGTAGTGATCCCCAACCATAAAATTATTTTCGTTGCTACTTCATAACTGTAATTTTGCTACTGTTATGAATTGTAATGCAAATATCTGTGTTTTCTGATGGTCTTAGGCAATTCTGCTAGCGGTTCTCAACCTGTGGGTCACGACCATCAGAAAACACAGATATTTACATTACGATTCATTAAACGGTAGCAAAATTACAGTTAAGAAGTAGCAACGAAAATAATTTTATGGTTGGGCATCACCACAACATGAGGAACTGTATTGAAAGGTTGCAGCATTATGCCGGGACCGGTTTGGCTCAGTGGATAGAGAGTCGGCCTGAAGACTGAAAGGTCCCAGGTTCAATTCCGGTCAAGGGCATGTACCTTGGTTGCGGGCACATCCCCAGTGGGGGGTATGCAAGAGGCAGCTGGTCAATGTTTCTCTCTCATTGACGTTTCTAACTCTCTGTCCCTCTCAATTTCTCTCTGTGTAAAATCAATAAAATATATTTTTTTAAAAAAAGGTTGTGGCATTAGAAAGGTTGAGAACTACTGCCCTAGAGTGACTAAGTAAGAAAAGAGTAAAGTGCTCTTTGCACTAGGCTACATCATTCATGAGTATACAGAAGTCAATGTTTAGAAGGACAATGAGAACAAAAGGTGAATTGTGGTGGATCAAGGAGTGAGTGGGCAGAGAGGAGATAGGGACACAGAATGTACCCCACTTCCACAAAAGCTTATTCCAGAAAGGAAACAGAAAACAAAGAAATAACCACATCTGTGTATTTCTGAAATTCATCTTCCTACCTGTTTGTAAATTTGGTGTACTTAATAGTTACTTAGCAGCAAGTGGATTCTCAGTAAGAGGTTCATAATATCACTCATGTGTTTCTGGTGTGTTTTTTTAAAAAGCTGACTTAGAGAAAAGTGGATTTCATGAACTAGTTCATGTATTATGTAAAAGCAAAGATCCAGATTGCGTTATAGAATTGAAATGTGTTTTTGCAAAGTCTTGCTTTCGCTCTTGTGCAGAAAACTAAGCTGTATTTCCCTGTTCTGGTTCATTTATATCTCATGTGATTGTGTCACCTTGTGTTTCTCCATTTAAAAGTTAAAGGCAAACTCAGCAGTTCCTTTTTCTTAAAATGCTTCAGTAACCAGCAGTTGCCACATTAAAAGCTTTAGCTGGAAGATTATAAAAATAGTCTAATGCTCCCTAGCAGGTAACTACTTTTGAACTGATTTTCCTTTCAGGGATGCAGTGAGGTCAAATCGACCGTCAAAAAAGGGACAGCAAAAGCTGGATGACATTCAAAGGGCAAAAGTGCATTGTGTTTGGAATGTTTTGTGTAAATGTTAAATAGCACCCACATTGAACCACCTGCTTCTTGTTTAGAAGGGTTCAAATGAACAATTTCAAGCACAATTGAGTAACACTCAAAAGAAAATCAAGTGTAATTTCCTAAGTTGCTGAAGCAAGGGTTCTTCTATGAAATCACCATTAGTATTTCTAAATCCAATTTGATTTTATTTAAGATTTATTGCACACAGTTCAGTGGCATTGGGATTTTCTTCAAGCGGAGATGGAATTACGAGGTAGACCTTTTTAAATGATTTTTTTTTTCCTTTATGTGTGTGTGCTTTAAAAATCCCTGGGTCATATCTTTAATAATCTTTCATTTCTTTTTTCTCTTTCTTGTGAATATGTTTTGCTTTGCTTTTGAGACACACTAGAATATAGGGGGAAAGCATCATAGAAAGACACCTACTTCACACCAACTATACAGCTCATCTTGAAATTCCTTACCTGCTGTCTATCTCCAAATTTTCACCAATGGGGAGTAGGGAGGGGCGGGAAGTAAGGGTTCTTAATAAATCTTCTAAGAAGGTAACTTTTACTGCCTTTATTAAACACCCAATTCACATTATCATTGCTACAGTAAAATCTTTAGTCTCTCTCAAAGCAAATCAAGTTCAAATGCTATAATCTGAACCTTATTTAAACCTTCCATTCTAGTCCTGTAGGTTACTCATTGCCATGAGCATTCTTACATTTTTCTTACTAGGGACTTCCTTTCTGTCTACATAACACATATAAAAATCTTTCCGAACCTACATCTTCAACTTGTTCATTTTCTTGAATCTTTCAACCTAACTCTTGTCCCCTTAGGATAATATCTTGTCCCCTTAGGACCCCAATATCTGTACTCACAATCAGCCTTAATAATTTCTTCCCTATGACATGTCTTCCTAAATAAATTATCATCTTAAATGCAGAACCTTATTGTTAGCACCCCTGGCAATGATGGTTATGCTATGCACTTAGTAGCAATGTTTGATAAAGATCTGTTGGCTAATATTTGAGGGGAAAAGAATTTTCATCTGTTTTAACAATGTAAGTGATTGTAATTACAATTTTGTTAGATATAGTGCTAACAAAAAATTCTCTATAAAAAAATGTTTCTCATTAAATAAATGAGAAATAAAGAAGTCAAATAAAAGTTTTAATAACTATCCTTAACCACAGCATATGTAGATTTCCTCAAAAAGTCTGTGTTCTTTTTTTTTTTCATTAAATCTTTATTGTTGAAAGTATTATACATGCCTATTTCCCCCATTGACTCCTTCAATTCTTATTCTTTTAAGTATTCTTAAAAATCTCACTTTAGGACACCCCATAAAACAGCCTGGACTTAGTGATTCCCTCAATCTCTAGGAGTTATTCTAAGGGGACAAAAGTAACTTCAATTTCAACTTCACTCACAGGTAAACTATGTCAGCAATGTGATGTTCACCAACTTTGCACTTTAGTGTTAAAAAATCAAAACACTGAAAAGTTATTACAACTGAAGGAAGAAAATACTACTAGCAGTACTGCTGAGACTACGGCATTTGTTTTATTTCATACATAAATTTCACAATCTAGATTGATGTGAAAGAAACATTTCTCCTTTCCCTACTACCCCAAGAAGAAGCTAAATGAAGCCAGGTGAGAAGCTGACCTCATGAATGTTGAGCAAGAATATGTGGCTTGTGAATCTGGTTAGTACCCACTTAATGCAAAATTATGAGAACATAACAACAGAACTGCACCCAAATGGGGGTTGGGGGTAGGAGGAAAGAACTTAAGAACCCATACCAAAAGTAAAACCAACACTGTGTTCTGCCTCTTTCATGCTAAATCCCGGGGCGGGGGGGGGGGCGGGGGGGGACGACTTGGGGGGTTGGAGGAGGCATCATTGTAGGGTTGAAAATATAAACCAAGCAACCTAATTTTCTCATAATGTTATTCTGGAAAAGCCACTATGAATTTGGCTAAGCTATTCTTGGTTGGGTTTATAATTATCTCTTAAGGGTTTATTATAGACTTTTGTAGGGAGAGGTGGTGTGCCATGAGTAGCACAGAGTGCTTCTCTGTGCAAAACTCCTAATTCTAGTGCTCAAAGATTACTAAAAGATATATGATATAAATAGTTAACGCAAAGTGCTATAAAGGAAAAGAAAGCAGATTAATGGATAGTGAATGACAAAGGGTGCTACTCTATCTAGTAAGCGTGACAAGAGATACCATACATATATCCAGAGGAAGAATTTTCCAGGCCGAGGAAATAGAGCAAATCACCTGGGCCAGGCACATGCATGGCAAGTTCAGTGGCAGAAAGAAGCAGGAGGTAGGGGGATACCTGGAATGAAGGCAGAGAGGCGGTGGTCAGGTAGGTTCCCTGTGGGTAAGGAGATTTAAGGGTTCAAGAAGCTATTTTAGGCTTGAGAGCAGACCATCCTAGGAGTCTTTGAATAAATGCTTAAATAAATGCAAAGAATGGTTACTATTCAAGAAAAATCAAAGACTATTATCTCGTGTGCCCTGTAGAGAAGGGGCTGTTGAAGAAGAAAGCGTCCCTGGCAGAAAGGAAGGAAGCAAAGTTCAAGGGCCAACATTTCAATTTCCAAAACCCCTTCCATATAATGCAGTCAAATGTAAACATAATTTTTAAATAATAGAACATAATTTCATAGAAACCTAAAGATGACACATTTTCATTTTATTTAAAATAGAGTTCTATATGATTCACAGAAACAAGTGCAAGGAGTGCTTAATTTATTATCTTTGCCACTTTACAAAACAATACATTTTCAGAAAATTCATACATAAAAATATAACATTTAGGACAATAAGTATTTACATCAGGAAGCAGCTAAAAGTTATATTTGAAAAGCTTTAAAATAAATACTTTATGACTTGCTGTTAATAAAGCTAAACATTTTGGTATGAAGGCTATCACTGAGTTTTTTAAATTTAAAATAATATTATTTCTAAACAAAAATAATAGTATAATATTTTACATGTACTATAAAATGCATATTTCCACCGACCAGAAATCAATGAAACACCTGAATATCATTCATTTCTCTTTGGAATTTGGAATTCTCTTCAGCTTCAACAGTTAATTACAACTATTAAAATTGCTACTTGCATACTTTTTGCTATCATTTATTGCCCAACTTTCATTTCAAGGCCTATTTCTTCATATTCCTTATATACAGTCACTTGGGCCTATCGAAAGATACTATATGTTACACACTTAAGAACATCAGCTAACTTACAATAAGTCTTTACAACAGTGCTTTTTCTTCACAGTAGTTCAAGAGTTCAAGGCAAGTTTCACAATGTCAAACTGCAATGGTTTTGACATTTGTAATGTGCTCTCAGGTACAAGAAAAGTCACACTACCAAAAGTATAATTAGTATTAGTACTTTGAAAGGCAATCCAAAATCCCCCCTTTTTCTGAGATCTGAATCTCATTTTCTGTTTTTAGGACATTTTAAAACCTGAAACTCAGATTAAATTTGAATAATTTTCTCCAGTCTAGAATCAAAAGAGTAGAAGAGCTTGATACTAGTCATTGTGGAAATGAACTGGAATTTAATATTTTGGCTCAGATGTCCTTACTTTACATAAAGGCAAAAAATAGTTGGATTATTTAAAAATTTTCTAATTACTTGTATTTAGCCTACTGGAAGAAATGGGGAGTTTGGTAAGTCTCATTCTATACCTGCATTAATCAGAACTTACACATGTAATTGCCCCTTTATAGGCAAAGTCAATGAATATGTTTGTACATGGAATGAAAACTCAGAGATACCAAAATTAGGGTCTATGTGTTTTGGTGCAGAATGTCTTGAGTTGAAAATTTTAATCAACAGGGTAAATCATACACTCTCTTTTGCTGTTTTGGGAATATTATGATGAAAATCTAATATCTTTTTCCCCCTCTCAGTTCTCTATTGTGTTTGCAAATGCCAACATCACTTTGAAATTTTCATTTTCTGAAGTATAAGCAGGGCCCTTTTCTGAAAAAATAGAAAACTATTTCTGAGTTGAGGAACCAGTTACAGGTGGGATTTCAGCCCCTATCTGCCCCTGAGCGTGTGTATGCAGAACACACAGGCCCAGCTGGGTCCGGTGGCACCCGGTATAGGCTAATTTCCCAATACACTCAGATTCATACTGGCTCTTTTACCGCTCAGGTGCATGTAACCCAGGGTAAGTAAGCATTTTGCAGTCAGAACTATTAGATCTGGGGAGAAGAGCTGTGTGTAGGATAACATGGACCAATAATAAGAAAATATAGTCATATCTGAAAATATTAAAATCTAGGATGAGATACTCTCCCAACTAAATTAAGAAGTACCCTGACAGCCCTCATTAGAAAAATATTAAAATGGGGAATTGTTACCTAATTTCAATATAACATTGTATTTAAACCATATGTGATAATACCTTAATTTTAAAAGATGGCCAAAGCAAAACAAGCAGTAGTATGCAGAAATAGCATTAGCAATCACTTTATGGGATATACATTTCACATTCTCTGCTCAAGTCACTATTTCTTAAGTGGACTTCAGCATTAAGGCAAATGTAGACACATTCCTTATATGTTAGCTAAAGCTAGAATATAAGTAGACTGATAGTCTTCTTTAAAGTGTGAAAGAAAACCACTCTACCTTTAACAAACACCCTCTTCATCAGGCCGAGTGAAACATTACTAGAGAAAGCATGAGATGCAACCTCTCACATGTGGGTGTGGGAAAGTAAAATCTTGTGGAGAAGTTTGGTGTGTAGCAATCTGACAGGGGCTAGAACTACTAGAATAGGAATTACAGACTGTTTAGAATTGAGGAAATACAAATTTTTAATGTAACAAAAAAGATGAGTGTCGAAAATAAACTAATGAGAAAGTAGGAGAGAAGATAATATGCTATCAACATTGTCTCAAATTCAACTACCAAATCATCTTTCACCCCCATTCTAATGCATAAAGAGAAACAGCAATCTTAGAAAAAGGAGAGAAAAAGAGTTATGAAACATCTCTTATCATTACTTGCATGAAGAAACTCCATGTTCTCATAATTCATAAAATTTATTCAGCACTACCTAGCTATTTAAAACTCTTCCTTAGCTCATTTTTGTTTTTCTCACTGACCTCACCATGAGTGAGCAAATTATTTCAGCAGAAATAAAGAGTAGGATTTGATCATCACCACCAAATGGCACGTTCAAGGTAGGGTTAGATGCATGTTCATTATTTTTTCATTAATAAAAGTTGGATATAATAGGCACCATGGTGGTTGGCCCCATGGGTTCTGATATCAGTTCTGCTAATAAATAGCATCTCTGATCCTTGGTTTCTTCATCTATAAAATATGGGAATTGAATTATAAAATATTTTAGATCCTTTATGATTTCCAAGTTCTGATTTTGTTTTTGTCTATGATACATCTGTAATAATTTAGACCAGTGATATATTATGTCATTAGAATAAGTACTGAGATCATTAAATTAAATAATAACTAGTGTTGTTGTTTTGTTTTATTTTTTTAATTAGAGACTAAACCTAATTTTGGAAGACAGTGAGGGGAAAAAGGAGGTGAGAAAAGGAATGAAATGTAAAAGAAAATCTGGAGAAGGGAAAAAAAAGTCAAATATCTGAAAATTTGCATTGAAATCTTTCATAAAACTGCCTGTATTATAATTTTTTTTTTAACATTAGCTCTTGGATTAATTTTCTTATTTTCCAACTGACATTTTTTCTGTTTAGTAGAAACCCTCAGGAGCAGAAAGATTATCCTCTTCACTAAATAGTGCATAAAGTCCACATTAGGTCTTAGTTTATGGAGGACTAACACAAAGTATTGTGACACATAATAGTAGTATGTTTCTCAAAAGAAATGATATTTAGAATATCTCCAAAGTCCACAGCAATAACACTTTAAGATACGAATTCTCAAACATTCCAAGTAAATTAAAATGGCATATTTGTAAATTTCTTTAAAGGAATGAATACTGAAAGCATCAATTGCTATCAACTGTATTCATTTGATACTCTACTTTTACTTAACTTCCCAATGGGAAATAAAATATCCATATTTTAAATACATTTATTTAAACAAAATACATTTCCATATTTATTTTAAATAATTAATTGTAAATTATTCTCTGCCAGGCAATTTTATGTTGGATTTTTGAATAATGGCAAATGTGGGCTCCCTGCTTTCAGATGATTTGCTAGTAGGTGCCCTCGTCCTGTTGTGTAAACTCAAAGATAGCCCTGAGTTCTCTCTGCCCCCAATAAGTCACATGGTGGTAAAATTCCAGCATAGCAGTTTTCTTTTGTTTTGTTTAATCATTCTATTAAAGTAAAAGCAGTACTAAATTATTATGGGACTTCTAGTGAATCTATTGAAGATCTTCATTTTAAATTAAAACCCAATTTTTAAATCTTCAGACACTGCAATCAGGATACTATTTTCATACAATCATGGAATTAAAAATGCAAAGTTAACTGAAAGTGTAAGGAGGAAAAGCAAGTGCTACACCTAAAATAGTGCATGACACAGTCATATTTCACTTAACTTTCAAGTCAGAACAAAAATTAAGAATTTTTTATGTTACATGCCAAATATGTTAGACATAGAAGAAAGCACACGGCAAAATCTGTACCCAGTTACGTGCAAAGATTATAAGATAACAAATTCATGCTCAAATAATTGTCAACAAATATTGTTTCCCTTATTTTAACTAAGTGACGCTACATATATATATATATTCCTTCATTATTTTATACAGTACTGAAATTTTATAAATAGAATTTCCCCAAGCTTTATATTATACTCAAAGACATAATATTTAAAAGGAGCAAAGAATAATGACACTTTGAGTCAAAGAACAATATTTTTTTGTTTTTAACACAATTCAGAATAAATAAATATTACACAATAAGACTCCATCAAAAACAAAAACAAAGTTTTACAGCATAGATATATACAGTAAATTGGCTTAATGTTTTAAACTTTATCTTATTTTTAAATGAGCATTTTATGTTTATAATTTTGATAATTAAGAAAAATTAGAACTTTTAATTTTTCTAACTGTTTTTGTTAATTTACCCCCTTTCTTAAAAATAATGTACTTGGTAAATGAAATATAAAACTATTGAGTTAGGAGTTATAGTTAACCAACATAAAAACAAAACAAAAATCTCAAAATGTACAAATTTCTCTGGATTGAAAGTTGAACCAATAAAAACATGAAATTATATTTGGACATACTCAAATAAATTATAAACATAGGAAAATGGAGAGATTAAAACAGCCTTTCTTAAAAATTAAGTAAGTATATTCACCCAACATAAGTGAGTAAAACAGAAAATGTTATCCTCATTTCTTTGAAACTATAGTACAACCATAGTAAATAAATAACTTCATTCTCATATGTGCAGAAACAACCTATGAGAAATGAAGGTAACAAGCATGAGCAAAGTTACTCCCTTCACATAAGCTTTTTTAAAAAATCCTTCACATATGCAATTTTAAAAATATCACATATTATTTAGATCGTCTGGAATAGCCAAATAAAGAAGTTTCTAAATGTATTGCAAATTGAAAATAACTTGTCATAGAGAACTCAAAACATCCTAATTTGTCATACAGAAGTCAAATCATCTTAATTTGTCATATAGAACTCAAAATATACTACTTTGTGTTATATTTATTTGCCAATTTGCTTTCTTCCCCCACACTCCTACATGTCTGTTGCCATTCCCAAGTTAGAGTTTAAAATCCCTGAGAGCAGAAGGTACCTATCTTTTAATTTCCCTATTGGGCCCAATCTTGTGGCGAGAAAGATATGGGGTGCCCCACATTAATTAAAGAATGGGTGACTAAGAATGAAAACTATATACAAACTACAGCTTCAAGGTTTTTGGCTTTGATGTATCATCCCAGTCAAATGAAGAAGGGTTCAGTAACACATGTCCACAGATAAATAAATTATAAGCACTGCAGTTCGATCTATTATGGGGAAAAAAATGTGTATTTTTCAGAACACTGTTACCAAAATTGTGCTCTGTAGAACATTGAAAAATGGGGTAGTAAAAGGTTTCTATTCCTCTTAATAAAAGGGTTCCATGGTCAAATAATTTGGGAAATCCAGTCTAAAGAAATCCAAATAGCATTTCTTTCCTGCGAGACCCATCAACGCACACGACACACTAACGTGCAGTGTCACATTCTAAGAATCTGTCAAATAATCCTTTTGGTCTTGGATCATCTCAGTAGAAGAGTGTTCTAAGAAACAGAGTTTAGAAAATAATATTTTAGAACAATAGAAGATACAATATTAAACTCCTTCATGAAAACAGAATTGTAGATTTGTAGGAAATATTTCATGTTCTATGTATTTTTCAGAATTCATCACTTCTATCTCCATAGGAAGTAGAATACAGGCAATATTATCATTTGCACCCACTTACTCATTTTGAAAGAGTAGGAAATGTCTACTTATACTTACTGATACACTCTGTAGAATTTGGTTGTTATACTTCATTTAAGGTTTTCTTAATTTTTTTCAAGATATTTCCTAGTTTCCTCTTCCTTTTCTGTTCTTTTCCTTCTAAATGTGTATGCACAAAAGTAATAAGGACCTCTGAAATGCATCTTGAAGACATCTTCTGAAAATGGATCTTTGTTTGATTTACCTCTGCAAGTTTTTAGAAAACATTCATACTTGTCTAACAAATAGGGTGACTATGACAACTCTATGAAAAAAAAACATCAATGGATATTCATGTAGGTCCATTATGATTCTACAAACAAACAAACAAACAAAAACCCCTCAATTTATCTTGTGTTACTAAACCACAAATATCATCATGAAAGATGTTTTGGCACAGGAAGAAAAATAACGTTGGAATTAAAAGAGTAGTAAGAAGCTAGCTAACTCTACAGTGTGGATGGTCACGAGGCTCAGACTTGAGCCAGCTCTACCCCTAGTGGTGTGACTTTGAGACATTTCTCCATGTCTCCAAATGTCAAGCATCTCTTTTGTAAATAAGAGGAAGTAACAATTCCAGTGGATTTCAAACTGTTTGCTTCAGGGGCTGCTGTGGTGATGGATTATGAAGAGTAGGGAAAGGCAGGGTTTAGAGGACCAAGTAACTGGGACCTAGACCTCACTTCCACCTTCCAACTGAGGAGCTCCACTTTTCCATGTTTTGTATACGAAATTTGGAGCAACATTTATTTTTTTAAAGATCCTGTTTAATTTTAAAAATGGAGAACACCATAGACTGCATGATGTTACATTTTGATTAGATGTAACATAATATAGTTCACATTTTTAATGAATGTTTTATCTCACTTTTTTTCAACACATTTTTTTCCATTCATTCATGCACTTTTGGTTCAAGTAAAATAAAACCTTAAGAATGCTTATTATTTTACATAGCTTATTTTACACCTTTACAGTATCTTTCTTATTAAATACATGAACTGATACATTTGCTTTTCAAAATAAAATTAAACATGAAGATTGGATAAAGTCAACTCCTGCTTGATGTGAGTTATTTTTTTTCATGCTGCCTTTGCACACTTAAATACTGTACTGCATTATCATTGAGGTAGACAACAACAACAAAGGCCAAACACATTCACATAAAGAGGGAAAATGAGAAGAAGAAAAAAAAAGCTGCGAGAGATTTTCAACATGATTATCATCGTTGGGCTTTGCAGTCTTCTTTGACACAAAGTTGAGAAATAGTCTTCTTAATACGAAGGGCAGTGAGGCGGGCTGCCCCATTGGCATACCAACACTCTCGCATTATTCTCCCCATGACTCGGAGTGCCTTTAAGAGAGAAAGACATCAAAGACCTTACTCACACAAAACACGTACATGAGAAACAAAACAACAAACCCAGAAATTGATGCTAAGCTCTGATGAACAAATAGTAAATAAAAAATAATATGAAAAGGAGATTAGGACCAAACCTCTTCAAAAATCCTGTCAACACACACTCATGTGTATTTACCTTACAGAGGCTATATTTTAAAATATATTTTTTATTGATTTTAGAGAGGAAGGGAGAGGGACAGGGAGAAACATCAATGATGAGAGAGAATCACTGATTGTCTGCCTCCTGCAAGCCCCCCACTGAGAATTGAATGCACAACCCTGGCATACACCCTTAACCGGAATTGAACCTGAGACCCTTTAGTCCACAGGCTGATGCTCTATCCACTGAGCCAAATCAGTTAGGGCAGAGGCTAACTTTTTATTGAAAATTCATCTATTGATTCCTGGGGATATGGTAGAATGTCTATCATTTAAAATATTCTAAGAAGGGATATGAAACAAAAAAAAAAAAGGGAAATGGGATGGCTTAGAAATTTAGCATATATTTATCTGGATGGTAAGCACACACATGCATACATTTTTTAAAGCTTCACCAAATTATATATCAAGATTTGTGCATATGTAAATTATGCCACAATAAAATAATGATCTACCATATTTTTCGGACCATAAGACGCTCCGGACCATAAGACGCACCAGTTTTTAGAGAAGGGAAATGAAGAAAAAAAGATTCTGAAACAAATAGTGTCCTAAAATATTTTATGTGCATTAAAACCCAACATCACAGTCATAAACACATGTAATCAACCCTGTAAAGTAAACAGCAGCATTTAGAACCATTTTAGAGCCAGGCAAGCACGCAGAGACCACACAGAGCCGGGCAAGTAAAAAAACTTATTTTTTAAAGTATATGTGTAGGCTATATTTGGACCATAAGAAGCAGGGACTTTTTCCCCCCACTTCTGGGGGGGGGTGCGTCTTATGGTCCGAAAAATACGGTAAATAGAAATATTAAAATTCTGAATTTAGTAAATCAGTTTAAGTGAATTGGTAAATAAGTAAAATAAATACTCCGAGTAGAAGATAAAGAGACTGCATGAATCCAGAGAGATATAAGAAGTCACTAAAGCCTAGTGGCTGTTCTGGTGGCATCTGCTGAACTCACTGCAGAATTTCAGAACTGATGGACCACATGTGAAAGAGGAAACACAGCCTGAAGCACCCAGAAGGTGTCAGAGCAAGATGTTTGCAAAGTTCTGAGTATAAGGATAAATCAAATCAGACTTAAAAGGAATTTTGTAAAGAAAATTGTCTAATTCTTAGCTCTCATTTTTGTTTTTGTTTTAAATCAGACCCAAGTCTTAAACCGTTGCAGTAAGCTTGAGCTCATAATGAAAATTCACAAGCAGGTGAGGAAATAATGTTACACAAGCAAGAGTCATTTCAAACAAGATGCAATAAAATGAGACCCATCAAAACATTAGATGCTAGAACTAAATGATATAACATGTAAAATATTATTTAATAAAAGAGTAATATGCAAATTGACCATACCTCCACTATACCCACAAGCCATGCCCACCAACCATGCCCACCAGCCAATCAGAGTGAGTATGCAAATTAACCCCAACTATGATGGCTACGGCCACAGAGAGCAGGAGGGAGGCTTGGGTTTCCCAGGTAATGGAGGAAGCAAAGCTTTTCACCTGTCCTAGCCAGTCTAAGCCTCCACTCAAGGCTACAAAGTTTCAATTATAAGAGGTAAACAAATCCAAACAGAAATGGCAGCAGCCACGGAGCAAGCAGAAGGCTTGGCTCCACTCCAGGCTACAAAGTTTCAATTGTAGAAGGTAAATAAATTCCAGATACCAGGGCCTCCACTTGGGTCTCCAGAGGGCGTGGCCAGCCTGCAAACAACCATAGGTTCCTCGCTCAGGCTGCCCCATGCCCCAAGGGAACCCCCACCCTGATCCAGGACACCTTTCAGGGCAAACCAGCTGGCCCCCACCCTGGTGCACCAGGCCTTTATCCTATCCAATAAAAGAGTAATATGTAGATTGACCATTGTTCCAACACACAAGATGGCTGCTCCCATATGGTCAAAGATCCTGCCCCCATGTGAACATAAGATGGCCACCACAAGATGGCCAGCAGGGGAGGGCAGTTGGGAGGGACCAGGCCTGCAAGGGAGGGCAGTTGTGGGTGATCAGGCAAGCAAGGGAGGGCAGTTAGGGGTGACCAGGCCAGCAGAGGAGGGAAGTTGGGGGCAAACAGGCTGGCAGGGGAATGGTTAGGGGGTGATCAGGCTGGCAGGCAGAAGCAGTTAGGGGCAATCAGGAAGGCAGGCAGGCTAGCAGATGGGAGCCAGCAGACCTGGATTGTGAGAGAGATGTCCGTCTGCCCGTTTAGGTCAGATACCCTAAATGGGCAGTCAGACATCCCTCGAGGGATCCCAGATTGGAGAGGGTGCAGGCTGGGCTGAGGGACACTACCACCCCCTCCACCCCCCATGCACGAATTTCGTGCACCGGGCCTCTAGTAAATATATAAAATAATTTGCTTAAAGCAAATAAAAAATTCAAACTATAAGTATAAAATAAGAGCATAGATAGTTTAAAAAGAAAAGTCTCAATAAAACTTATTAACATACAAAATATAACCATTAAGCCCTGGCCACTGTGGCTTAGTTAGTTGGAGCATCATCTATTCACCAAAGGGTTTAGGATTTAATCCCTGGTTGGGGCACGGGTGGGAGGCAACCAATCAATGTCTCTCTCCTCTCTCTCTCTCTCTCTCTCTCTCTCTCTCTCTCTCTCTCTCTCTCTCTCTCTCTCTCTCTTTCTCTCTCTCTCTTTCTCCCCAAAACAATTAAAGAAAAATAACTCAATGGGTGAGTTAAATGGCAAATTTGATACATCTTAAGACAGAATTAATGAACTGGATGATAAATGTGAGAGTTGTTGTATGAAGACACAAATATGGAAAATAGGGGAGAATAAGAAAATAGCAAAGTAAAATAAAAGGTCTAATATGTACCAATGAGTTTTCTAAAAAGAAGTAATAGAGACGATGAGAGGAAAAATTATTTGAAGAGATAATGGCTCAGAATTTTGCAGAATCAAGGAAAGTTACAAATCTTCAGAATGAGAAAGTCCAAAAATTCCAACCAAGACTAATCAAGAGACATCAACACCAAATGCACCATAAGGAAACTGCAGAATACTAAAATAGTCAGGAAGAAAGTAAAAATTAACTCTAAAGAGATTCTCAATACCAATAAAAGAAGCCAGAAGACAGTGAAATAATACCTTTAAAGTGCTTAGGGAAAACAATTCTGAACCTAAATTTTTATGCTCAGATAAACTATTTGTTTAAGATTGTGGACAAAATAAAGACTTTCTCAGACATCCAAATGCTGAAAGAGCATACAACCACTAGATCCTCACTAACAAAAAACAACTTAAATAAAATATGGTTAAAGGATCCACATTAGAAAGTAAGAAAATGATCTTTAGAGAAAACTCTGAGAGACAAGAGGAATGTTGAACAAAAAAATTATAAACATGTTCATAAGTATAAACAAACAATAATGGTATAAAATCACACCAATATATAATACACGGGGTAAAAACAAAATAAGGTAGAACTAAAATGCTGGGCAAAAATAGATTTAAAAAATGTACATATCAACAATATACAGAGTGGCCAGATTATTATGATCACTGAATGCATAATAATCTGGCCACTCAATATATATATATTTTGAAATAAATATTTCTGAATTTTCTGAAATATATATATATATATATATATATATATATATATATATATATATATATATATATATATGCCAGAAAAGTATCTTCAGGTAAGGCAGTGCAAGCATTGAAATAAACACTTACCGTACATGTGTTTTGGGGATTAAGAAAAGGAAGCTTTTCCAAGGAAAGAGAATAAACTCAAGCTTCTGCAGGGTTTGGGATTAGGGATAATTTATTGAATAAAGGGATGACTGAAATTGTAATACTCTGTGTGGCATAGACATTGAGTATCCCCCATATGTCTTTCTCCCCACAGTTCCTGGCCCCTTGCTGTTAGATGGGACCAGGAGACCAGTTCTGGTCTAGGAACTGGAAGTGGAAGGGATGTGAGTTGCTGGAGCCAAATCATTGAAGAGCCAGTGTGTGACTCTCTAGTGCCTCTTTTTTTTGTGGCCTAGACACCTAAAAATTATGCATTGAAATAGCATCCCAAAATCAAAGTCACCTGGATTTCTGAATCACCACAGGGAGCACAGATGTTGTTGAAAGTTGCCTAACCTCAATTTGTTACTGCCCCATAACTTAGCATTAGGTGTATATACTACAATTAAAGGGAGTAACATCAAAGATATATACCTACATATATGAAATGAATTAGATGCCTAGATTAAAAGAGAAAAACTATGTGGTCTGTGAAAATCCTCCCTGAGACTTACCTCACAATTACAATAGGAAAAATATACATAAGATTTTATCCTTACTTCACAGCTTTGCCACTGGTTTGGGATGCTTGGTCGAAACTTCTGATCACAAACAACCTTCCGCATTTCCTCCATTGAGGGATCTGAAGGCACCATGTCATAATAAGGCAACTGGTATTCCTCAACAATTCCTATAAGAAATTTGCACAGTAAATTTCCCAGTGTGAATAATAAACAAAGATGCTTATTTTGAAATAATTTATCAATTAAGTCTTCTAGACACCATGGAATGGTACCATGGAAAACTAGAAAGTCAGGTCTATTAAAATTATGCACCACTATAAAATTAAATATATAAGCTGGCATGGCTCAGTGGTTGAGTGTCAACCCATGAACCAGGAGGTCACAGCTCGATTCCCAGTCAGGGCACATGCCCCCGTTGCGGGCTCGATTCCCAGGATGGGGCAGGTAGGAGGCAGCCAATCAATGATTCTCTCTCATCATTGATATTTCTTTCTCTTTCTCTCCTTTGTTTTCTGAAATCAATAAAAATATTTTTAAAATTAAATATATAAGTTTAAAGTGTTCAGTTGAATAGCTATTATATACAGTTGAATAGTTTTTATTTAAATTTTTGTTGTTGTCACTATTGCAGATGTCCACCATTTCCACCCTTCTGCCCACCTGCACCCAACCCCCACTCTCCTTCCTTGGCCCTCACCACACTATTGTCTGTGTCAATATAATTTATAATATGAAAAGCATATAATTTTTTTAAAATATATTTTATTGTTTGTACAGAGAGGAAGGGAGAGAGATAAAGAGTTAGAAACATCGATGAGAGTCATCGATCAGCGGCCTCTTGCACACCTCCTACTGGGGATATACCCGCAACCAAGGTACATGCCCTTGACCGGAATCAAACCCGGGACCTTTCAATCTATCCATTGAGCCAAACCGGTTTCAGTGAAAAGCATATACATTTTTATTTACATATCATTCCACTGTGCAATTCAGAAAAAAAATAACACCTAATTATAAAATTTATAACATGGTCTTATTGCTATGAGTGAAGTATATTTCTCTATTAAATAACTTTTTCAAAATAAAATAGCTATCTTTTTTTTTTTTAAATTGTTAGGCAATCTTTTAAGAGCTGAATTTGTTACATTTGAATTTTAGAACTTCTATAACTAAGAATGTTCCAAAGAAGCAACCAAAGTATTTGAAGATAGATGGTTTAACATGGAGGTTAATATGTAGAGTCTCAAATACTTCGACAAAAACTAAACCTTAATTACCAGATTAGTACTTGAATTCAAGAATTTCCTAATAAAATAATTTGAATTAACCACAATCCTTTTAATTTAAAACATTTAAGATGTGGGGGAGAATCCAAGATGGCTGCACAGGTAAACACCTAGCCGCAGCAGCACACAATAATTTCAATAAAATACAACTAAAATATAAAATGGACATTACCCAGAACTACAGGAAAGTCGACTGACTGGAAATTCTACAACAAGAAGCAAGGAGAAAACCAGAAGGAAGAGCAGAGGAGCTGTAAAAGCCTAAGGTAAGGAGACACGCGACGTGCGAGGAGAGGACGGAGTCGGAGAGGAGGGGCGGCTGAGTGCCTGGCTGGCGTTCCCTAGCAGGAAGGAGATAAAAGCTCCGACTGTGCTGAACCCCAGACCCGGTGGTGCTGAGCCCCAGTTCTAGGCCAGACCCTGGGGACCCAGGCTCAAACAGAGGGAGCTGGGGCTGTGTGGCGGAATCCCAGGGGAGCGGCGAAAGGCAGAGCCCCCGGAGGCATGCAACTGTTGACTCTGCTGCTAGATTGCCCTAGCGGGAGGGAGACAAAGGCTCCGGACTGTGCTGGGCCCCAGTTCCGACTGCTCTGAACCCCAGTTCTAGTCCAGAACCCGGGGACCCAGGTTCAGAGAGCTAGGCTGTAAGGCGGAACTCCGCGGGAGCGGCAAAAGCCGGTCCTGGAGGCGCGCACATCGCATGCAGAGAAGGGACGGTTGGCTGTGCCACTGGATTGCCCTGTCGGGAAGGAGACAAAAGCTCCAGACTGCTCTGAACGCCACCTCTGAACCCCAGTTTGGGGGAGAGCCTAGACTGTTTGGTAGCAGGCAAAAATCGAGGGCACCTTTCTCTCAGTGGTGCTTGCAGTGAGTACTGAAGGACCCTGAGGAATACTGAGACTCAGGAGCCGCATAGGGCGGGGCTGACAGAAGCCAAGGCTGTAGGCTCCGCTCCATCAGGGAAGCTGCGAAAATGCCAAGACAACAAAATAGATCACAAACGCAAGAAATGGAGGACAAAAAGTGACTGGATATAGAGTTCAAATCTACGCTTATAAGGTTTTTCAAGAATTTCCTAGAAAAGGTCGATCAGACCTATGAGGATATGAAAAAAGATCAACTAGAATTAATAAGGGATCAAGAAATAAAGAATACATTGTCTGAAATAAAAACTATAATATGGAATCCTAAAAACAGAATGGAAGATCACAAGAATCAAGTCAAAGATTTGGAACATAAAGAGCCAGAAGACACTCCTCCGCAGAAGCTAGAAGGCAAGAGAATCCAGAAAATTGAAGATAATGTAAGAAACCTCTGGGACAACTTCAAGCGAACCAACATCAGAATTATGGGGGTCCCAGAAGATGAGAGAGAGCAAGATATCGAAAACATACTGAAAGAAATAGTGACAGAAAACTTCCCCCACCTGGTGAAAGAATTAGACTTACAAGTCCAGGAAGCGCACAGAACTCCAAACAAAAGGAATCCAAAGAAGACCACACCAAGACAAATCATAATTAAAATTCCAAGAGCAAAAGACAAAGAGAGAATATTAAAAGCAGCAAGAGCAAAGCAGGTAGTTAGCTATAAAGGAGCACCTATACGATTGTCAGCTGATTTCTCAACAGAAACTATGCAGGCCAGATGGGAATGGCAAGAAATATTCAAGGTGATGAATAGTAAGAACCTACAGCCAAAAATAATCTACCCAGCAAAGCTATCACTCAGAATCAAAGGCCAGATAAAGAGCTTCACTAATAAAAAAAAAAAAAGCTAAAGGAGTTCATCACCACCAAACCAGAATTATATGAATTGCTGAAGGGGGTTCTTTCGGAAGAGAAAGTAAATAAAGATAAAAATTATGAACAACAAATACGTAACTATCAACAAGTGAATCTAAAAACCAAGGAAATTAAAAAAAATTGATGAACAATATTAACTATTGAATATAATAGAATCAGAGGTATGGAAGGGGAGTGAACTGACGATTCTTGGGGAAAAGGGGAGAGGAGGTTGTGGGAAGAGACTGAACATAAACTGTGCACCTATGGATGAGGACAATGGGAGGTGGAGAAAGGGCAGAGGGTGAGGTGGGAACCTGGTGGAGGGGAGCAATTGGTGGGGGGGGGAAGAACATTTGTAATAATATGAACAATAAAGATTTATTTAAAAAAAGAAAAAAACATTTAAGATGTGTCATTATATTGGAAATTGAACTTCAAAACATGTTAATAGTACATTACTATTCTGACAGTTAAAGAAAATTTAAGGACAAAAACCAAAAAAGCAAAGCTAGACAAATATCAATATAAATAATGGCAAATACCGTATTTTTCGGACCATAAGACGCTCCAAACCATAAGACGCCCCAGGTTTTAGAGAAGGGAAATGAAGAAAAAAAGATTCTGAAACAAATAGTGTCCTAAAATATTTTATGTGCATTAAAACCCAACATCACAGTCATAAACACATGTAATCAACCCTGTAAAGTAAACAGCAGCATTTAGAACCGTTTTAGAGCCGGGCAAGCACACAGAGACCACACAGAGCCGGGCAAGTAAAAAAACTTATTTTTTAAAGTATATGTGTAGGCTATATTTGGACCATAAGACGCAGCGACTTTTCCCCCCGACTTCTGGGGGGGAAAAAGTGCGTCTTATGGTCCGAAAAATACGGTATGTTTGAATCTTGATATTTAACAAGTATGGTTCTAAGCCCTTTAGATGTTTTAACTAATCATTCCCCAAAACCACTGACTAAAGAAAGTACTATATTATTCCTGTTTTACAGAACAAGGAAACTGAGGCACAAAGAGAGTTGTGATATCGCTGAAGGTCGCACAGCTATCAGTGGCAGATCTGGAACTCAGCCCCAGGCTCAGGGTTTCCAGGGTCCATGTTCTATATTACTGTATTTATATTGCTTCTAGAAATACCCATGTTTCCCCAAAAATAAGACATCCTCCGAAAATAAGACCTACTTACAGGTTTCCTTCTGAGTGAAATATAAGGCATCCCCCCGAAAATAAGGCCCCCCTAGGCTCCATTCCCTCCACTGCTTACGAAAGTGCACGTGTTTCCTGTATTTTGGCAATTTGTCTGGATGGCACTAAAATCCCACCTTTAATCATTTCTAAGGGCAAGAAGGAAAAGATTGAATGTGTTTTGGGCATTTTTATTCTTGAAACTGAAAAAGCCTGGGCCACACAAGCAGTTATAAGGAAGTGGGTTGATTTAATGCTGCCGCTTGTTATGCGAGGGAGCTAAAGAGGTCTGCTAGTCTGGGATGCAGCCAGCACTCACCGTGCTAAAGACACGAAGACATTTCTTCACGAAAGAAAAATAGATCAGATAATGATTCCCGCAGGAATGACGGCCTATCTCCAGACTCTTGATATTGCAATAAACAAACCATTCAAAGACAATTTGCGCATGGAAATTAGTGACTACATTGAAAACAGAATGGAGAGAAATCAGCGTGGAAACTTTGTGAAACCTAAACTGCAAGAAGTTGTGACTTGACTTGGGCGAAGAATTCACGGGAGAAAATCACTGATAGTTGCATTGCAAATAAGTTGCATTGCAAATAAGTTGCATTGCAAATGCACTTATTGCAAAATAAGACATCCCCTGAAAATAAGACCTAGTGCATCTTTGGGAACAAAAATTAATATAAGACACTGTCTTATTTTGGGAAAAACAGGGTAGTTCCTTCTTTCTGAATGTTTTATTATCTCATCAGTGAATACAGGGGGAAAGTATGTTTCCTCATTCAAACACAATTTTAAGTTTTTCTTTTAAAAAATAAAAAATTAGATTGATGTAAGGTAAAATGAGACCAATACAAAATACAAAAAGTTTATAGTAGTTAAATAAGGACAGCTCTTTCATTGAATGTTTATCTGAGTTTGCTCTGTGCTAAAAGCTTCACCTGAATTAATTAAATTAATCCTTTACATTAGGGGTGTCGAACTCAATCAGAGAAGGGGCCAAAATCTAAAATCCAGCCTAAATCGCGGGCTGAATGGTTTACTGAACAGTCATAAACTGTCATTGTGGTGGAAACGCAGCGGAGTGCAGTGATGACAGCGCGGTGGGGGCCACATTGCAAGGCCTGGCGGGACGGATTTGGCCCGCGGGCCTTGTGTTTGACACATGTGCTTTACATCCTCAAAGCCAGCAGGGTCTGTTTTATCATTTCTTCATTTCACTTGGGGAAAGTGATACCAAGTAACTTGCCTGAAGTCAGATGTTCAGGAAGTTGTTAAATCAAGGATTTAGCCCTTAATCTATCTCACTTGAAAGATAAAACTCTAAATTATTTAATCCCAGTATTTATTTTCTCCTACTGATGAAAGAGTACCATCAGACTGCATTGTAGGATTTCATTCTCTCAAATTCTTCCTCTCATTATTCATCTCTAAACTGCTAGGAGCAGTAGAATCAGGAAGTTAGTCTTGGCTCACCTCCAACCTCCACTTGATACCCCACACATTTCTCATCACAGGAAAGAAAAGAACAAGAAAAGTCTGAGAATCAGAAGACTTCAGTTCAAGTCCTGTGGCCTTGGCAAGCTATTTCACTTCTTGGGATTTCATTTCTGGTATAAAATAGGGATATCGCTAATAGCATACAAGCTCAAGTAAAATTTTCAAGTACTTCACTAAGTATCATTATGAAAATCAGAATTATCAGGAGAACTGTCACCCCCACATAAGCCATAATCCTAATATATAAAAAGCCAGGGGCTGTCACCACCGAAACAACCCAAACAACCGGATGGACGATTGAACACATGCTGTGTGGGTTGGCAAGGCTGGCAGGGGGGTTAGTGAGGAATAACCAAACAACTGAACAACAGGCTGCAGGAGGTGACCAGGCAAGCAGGGGATTAGTGAGAGACAACCAAACGACTGAACAGCAGCATGCGTGGGGTGTCCAGGCCGGCAGGGGGACAGTTGGGGGCAACTAGATCGGTGGAGGGAGGGGCGGTTGGGGTTACCCAGCCGGCAGATGGGCAATTGGGGGCAACCAATCTGGCAGGAGGGGTAGTTGGGGGCAAACAGGCTGATGGAGGAGCAGTTGGGGTGACCAGGCCAGCGGGGGGGGGGGGGGGCAATGAGGGGTGACCAGGCTGGCATTGGCATGGGGGGCAGTTGGAGGTGACCAGGACAGCAGGGGGGCAGAAAGGGGTGACCAGGCCAGGAGGGAAGGGCAGTTAGGAGCAACCAGGCTGGCAGGCAGGGCAGTTTGGAGGTGACCAGGACAGCTTGAGGGGGCAGTAAGAGGTGATCAGGCCAGCAAGGGCGGGGGGGGATTAGGGGTGATCAGGCTGGCAGGCAGAGGTGGTTAAGGGTGATCAGGCTGGCCGGGGGGAGGGGGCAGTTAGGGGCAATCAGGCAGGCAGGTGAGCAGTTAGGAGCCAATGGTCCTGGATTGTGAGAGGGATGTAGTAGGACATCCCCTGAGTGGTCCCGGATTAGAGAGGATGCAGGCTGGGCTGAGGGGATCTGTTCCCCCACCCCCGTGGACAAATTTTGTGCACCGGGCCTCTAGTAATAATATAAAGTCTCCCATTATGTGCAGTACACTCTACTTTTGCCACTTAAAATATATGCCAATAGGTATTCTCTTAACTAGTAAGAAATCATTTAATATAGTGCTTAGGAAAAAAAATCACATATTGTATTCAGAACATCAAATAAAAACAGACACAAAGAATATGCCCAATATCTTACCTCCAACTGAACACCTTCGGGCTATTTCCCAGTAAACCAGACCAACAGAATATATGTCAGCACGTTTGAAGGACTCAAAGATATTCACATTCATTGTATCATCAAGCATTTCAGGAGCCATATACCTTCAAAACATTCACATGTCAGATTCTGTGTATGACTTTAAAGCAGTCCAGTAAAGCATAATCTTACTAAAACAGGATGCAAAATATAAGTGAAGATAGCTTACATCAGTTTTACAAGTGGACCTAAACCACTGTACTATAACAGAATAAAATTAAATAATAGTTATTGACTTGACCATCATTTAAAACATATTTTTAATAGAACAAGGGGTCATCACCCTCAGTATTAAAGCATATGTGCCAGGCGCCAAATGCTTGGAAAGCACAAGCCAGAGGGGATTCAGTAAGCACAGCACTCAATAGGAGAGACGAAACTCAATTTCCACCAGTAGCTCCTTGCCAAGGAAAGCTCCTTGAGGGCAAAGGGTAGGTTTTATTCGTGGAGGGCCCAGTCCTCCAACACAGAGCTCAGCAGTGGCCCAGAAATATCTGTTCTGAATAGATACACTGGCTCCAAGAAACATACAGTTTATATCGGCTCCAACAAAATTACGGTCTTATCTTAACAGGACTAAACCAAAGTAATTTACAATTGCTGAGACCTGACTGAGCCTAGCGAGTTGTCCTAGGGAGATTTTGAGAACTTCTCAGAGTTTTCAGGTGAGGATGCAACACACTCCCTAACTCTTTTAAAAGTTTTAGATCCCAGGGAATCTAGCAGCCAAGGCTCCCCTGACGGTCCCTAATATGGGGACAGTTTGATGGGCAAAAGTCAAATCTTGCTTTTTATAGGGAAAGGAAGCCCCATAGGGCTGCCCGGTCTGAATAAACTGTCCTGAAGTGTTTCTGGGGCCTCATTGAAGTCTCCCAGGAACCGAGTGGAGGACTCAGAGGGACTGGCCTGGACTGTCAATTATGGCTTGGAGGCCGACTCTGCCAGCTTAGAAATTCTCCTTTCTCCAGGGCCTTTAACAACTCCAGGAAATGTTTGGGTTGTTTCTCATTTCAAGGTCAAGAAACCTGGGATGATGCCAAATGGGCACAGAGCCTGAAATACAAATAAAAGGAAATGGAGCATGCTGGCCCCAGGGCCACAACAAGAAAACACCAGACGTCCCACTACAAATGGGGCCGTCCTGAACGTGTGTGGTATACGCGTTAATATCATGCTTGCTCTTAACTTTCAGAGATTCTGTTCCTTGAATGTGGAAACTGTGTCCGAATTCATCATCAATTTGGGAGACTTAAGGTTAAATACCACTACGGTGTTGTCACAGAAGTTGTCACAGAACATTTTCAAATATTGAGAGAACACAATAGTGCATATATTAAGCATTATGAGCAGTCCTCACCTCTCTAGCCCACTATATTGATTCCTTTCTGTTGTTTAGAATCTGAGCATGTAGAACTAACCCTGAGTTTCAGTTCATTTGTGAGGTATAAAGGCTTTGGAGGAGCTGCACACTACTGACATTGTTTTCCTCTTTTCTATAGGAAAATATGTTCTCAGAATATGACACACCAAAAACAATATACCGTCATCTCCTTCACCAAGCCTCTCCATTGGCCAAATGGCTACCTGTATGACCAAATGCCAACTCCCCTTGCTTTATAACCAGTGTGCCACTGATTTCTCAATGACCCAGAGAAGACTTTTTGTTTTCTTGGGTCTAATGATTTCCCATGTGGACCTCTGCCCCCATCCCTACACACATCCCAGACATTCCTGCGTAGGGGACAGTTGTAAGTCTTAGCGTGCTGCCAGAGTAAGTTGGCTTACCTTTTGGTTCCCACTTTAGGATTCTGAGGTATGTCAATAGTGTTCAGTATAGAATCATGCTTCACAGCTAATCCGAAGTCTGCTATGGCACAAGTTTCACATTTTTTCACCAAAATATTCTTTGATTTTATGTCTCGATGAGCAATGGCAGGTTTGCCTGTGAAGGATGAGCAAGCATATTCACTTTTGTCATTACTGAAGATGGAATCTCTCCAAAAGGAATTATTTGGAAGACTTGGCTCAAATATCGCCTAAAAGAGGCTTCTCTGACCACCCATTCTGCATCCCAAGGCATTCTCCATCAGAGTACCCCATTTTGCCTTCTTTATAGCTCTTATCACTATTTCATATGTCTTACTTATTCATATATATGTCTAATTATCTGCCTCTACAACTAGACTATAAGCTACATAAGGGCAGAGATTGTGTCTTAGTCATTACCATTCCTTCAAATGCTTAGATCACTAGGTCACATTTAGTAGCCTCTCATATGTTTGCTGAATGAATAGGGGAAGAATTAGTATTGCTATGTACACATGAAAACAAAGAAAATATTCTCTTGCAAAACAAGTTTCAAACGTCTACAATCCTAGATGAACAGTTCTCAAATGTGGCCTGAAGACCCTGGGGGTCTTCGAAACTGTTTTCCAACTATGTCTGTGCAATGTCACCTTTTCTCCCCATACTTCAACCAAAGCAACATGTTGGAGCAGATTGAATGAAGAACAGGCATGAAAATCCAGATATTAAATAGATTTGCAGAAATGTAAAACAAAACCATAATTTTTACTTAACTGGTTTTTGCATTATAAAAAAATATGTGAATTTTTAAAAATTATGTTATTAATGCTAATATTTAATTGGCTAAATCATTATTGTTGTTTTAGGTAAATGAGTATTTTTAAATTCCTCCATTTTAGTTCTAATATAGTAAATATTAATGATATAATTCACAGGCAAAAAAAAAAACTTTGGGGAGTCCTCAATCATTTTTCAGAAATTAAAAGGATCATGAATCCAAATTGGAGAATCAGTACTCTGATGGAACTAATAACTTTCTAGAGCCAATTCTCTATTAACTCAGTAAATAGAAAAGACAATGTGTATTACTTGACCTTCAAGTATATGATATATAGATATTTTTTCAAGATCACATTACCCTTTCTGATTATTTTAACTATCAAAAGTAAAAAAAAAAATTATTTGTATTTTTCTGAATATGAAGCCCTTGACATCAAAGCCAGATCTCTCAGTTATACAAGCTAAATAGCAAATATTGAGTCACTAGGAATAAAAATATTATGGATGGTATACAAAATGGCAAGTGTGTAGATGACAGTTGGTTCTATCATGACAAAATCTTCAGCCTTATAAAGTACCTTTAGTGTTTCTTTACATTTGATAACTGTAATAAATTAAAATACAACTAAACTCTGAAATACAACATAGTATTCCTCCATGAGCAGTATGGCTCAGTGGATAAAGCATCAGCCTGTGGACTGGAGGATCATCAGTTCAATTCCTGGTCAAGGACATGTACCTGTGTTGTAGGTTTGATCACTGTCCCCAGTTGGGGTGCATATGGGGGTCAACCAATCAATATGTCTCTCTCACATCAATGTTTCTCTCCTCCCCCGCTCTTCCATCCTACTCTCTCTAAAAAAAAAAAAAAAAAAAAAAAAAAAAAAATCAATGGAAAAAATATTCTGGGGTGATGATTAACAAAAATAAATAAATAAAATACAACTTAGTGTTCCTATCTTCATATTTAAGAAGAAAAACTGAGAAATAAAATACCTACCTTGTGTACCAACAATCTCCATATGAAGGTGGGCCAGACCACTAGCTATGGAAAGTGCCAGTCTGATCATCCCAGCCACGGTCACTATATTTCTATTCAAATAGTCATACAAGGAGCCCTGTTCATGATATTCCAAGACAAGCCAAAGTTGGGTCCAAGTTCCATTATCTAACAGGAAAAAATTTGGGTGCTGTAAATACATGTTGAAAAAGAAGCCAAAAGTTTTTATTAAATGTCAGTGCTTCTAGTAAATCTGCATTGTTAACAAAGCAAAGTTAATTCCTTCATGGATATTATCCAGACAATGCCGACGGTTCGAATTCATAAAGTAAAAAGTCTCAATGGGTTCCTGAAGATATTGATATATTGAAACCTGTTATATGTTCCCACCATAGCTATTAGAAACTGTGAGGCAGAGATTCTAACTGAACAACTTTGTTATTCCCTTGATATTTGCCAGTGATTGCAACCACATTATAGGAAAAACTGCTGAGAGATGCATTTAGGCTCAGTGTTGTGTTATAAATTTCTCTTGAGATTTTAAGAAACATTGTCCCAATAAAAAATAGAAATTAAAAAATTTACACAAAGTATTTGCACTGCCATAGGAGCTCCAACATTCTAAGAATGCTCATGTTACTTACCTTTCAAATATGAAGTTGACAATTTTCCCCAAAAGCTTATATTAAGAGCCAAATACAATAACTAGACATTTTCAAATAGTTTTCCCCCATTTAACCAAAAGCTAATCAAGCTTATTAAAGATTTCTAGCAGAAGAGAAACTAGCCTAAGTCTTCTTTGGGTATTGTAGTTCCTAAAGCTAACTTTAGCTTTCAGGATCGAGTGTCTACAATAGCCCTGGGCTCTCCTGACCAGAGAAACAAAACTATAAAAAACATTTGCTGAAGGCTTTGTCTTCCTAGTGTTAAATACAAGAGCTCCTCTTTATTCAAGCATTTAATTTCCCGAGCTAGTAGTGATAACACTTCCTAGCAATGAAAAACAAACATAACATAATAAAGTATACTAATAAACTGACCTTATATAAAACTAACCCTTACTCACACCTCTCTCCCAGCTTAGCACCAGGGGCTATCTTTGCCTTCTCACACCAATGTCTTTGTCAGACAGTTGACTAAAAAGTGAAACTGTAAGTGTTGCCAAAGATATAAAAATGCATGATGATGAAAGTGATGTTAGAGACCATTTAGAATCAGACAGAAAGCTACTGACAAGGAAGCCACTGACAGAGGTAGACCAGTAACTGAAGAAGAGAAAATAATGATCTTTCTTGTGCAAATGCTCTTCTTTGTTTTATAATCCAAAAAACATCATGAATATATTAGCCCGTCAAGATGATCTGTATAACTATAGTCATTACTGCTTTCACCACATTCTAATTAATCTAACCAGTAGGTAGTTTTACTCAACATTAGGAAGGAAAAGAATTTCTTAACAGCTTAACAAGAAATGCTTCATTTTCAATAGGCTGGATATATTTTCAAAGAATATGTAGTTAAGAATTTGGAAATAATCTGTTATTTCTTTCTAATTTATCTTTATTGTTGACTAGAGGCCCGGTGCACAAATTCATGCACCAGTGGTGTCCCTCGGCCTGGCTTGAGGGATCAGGCTGAAACCAGCACTCTGACATCACCCGAGGGGTCCCAGATTGCCAGAGGGCAAAGGCCAGGGCAAGGGACCCCACCAGTGCATGATCGGGGTCAGGGAGGGATGTGGGAAGTTGGCCAGCTGGGGAGGAACTGCAGGAGAGCTCCAGGGCCAGACTCCAGCAGCAAGCTAACCTATCGGTTGGAGCATCTGCCTCCTGGTGGTCAAGTACACGCCATAGTAACTGGTCAACTGTCTGCCCCCTTGTTAGTCAGTGCACATCATAGTGAACAGTTGAGCAGGCTTAGCACGTCATTAGCATATTACACTTTGATTGGTTGAACAGCCGACTGGACCATGGGACACTTAGCATATTAGGCTTTTATTATATAGGATAGTATTACAGACGTCCCCTTTGTTTATTTGTTTTTTCCCATTGACCCACTCTACCTGGCACCAACCCTTCCCAGGCCTTCACCACATTATTGTCTGTGCCCAGGGGCTATGCATACCTATAATAATAAAAGCATAATATGCTAATTAGACTGGACAGCCGAATGACGTTATGGACGTCCTTCCGGATGACATTCTGGATGAAGCCAGGGCTGTGAGAGCCAAGGCAAGCCACCACAGCTATGAGGGCCGAGCCCCTTGCATGAATTTCATGCATGAGGCCTCTAATATGCATATAAGTTTCCTAGAAGAATCTTTCTTTAAAGCTCATCTCAGCTTTACGCTGTTTTTCTCTAGCAAATCAGATAAGACAATTCATCAGCAAATGTAATCATGGCCAAAATGTATAATAACCCTGTTTCTCTTTTGCCATGTAATTAATAATGAATACTTTCAGGATCCCGATTATCTATATATATAAAAGACTAAGCTACTAAACAACTGACTGAATGACCAGTCACTAAGATGCATACTGACCACCAGAGGGCAGACACTCACCGCAGGAGCTGCCCTCTGGTGGTCAATGTGCTCAGCTGACCAAGGGGCACCAGACATCAGGTTCACAGCTGGCAAGTGCAGCTGTGGCAGCATGAGCTTCTCCCACCTCTGCAATAGTACTACCAAGTGGCAGTGGCAGGTGCAGCAGGGCCAGGATGAGCGTGAGCGGTGCAGCGCCCGGCCTGGGCTTGGGGGTCCTCCCTGGCTGCCTGCTCTCTCACGCAATACTACATCCCTCAGGGGATGTCGGACTGCTGTTTTTGGCCCAATCCCCGCAGGCCAGCTGACATCCCCTGAGGGTCCTGGATTGCAAGAGGGTGCAGGCCAGACTGAGAAGCCCCATCAGTGTAAGAATCTATGCTTTGGGCCTCTTGTACTATATAAAAATAATCATAGATTTTTAATTTTTGTAGGTATTGGTAGGTATCTGATATCCACAAATAATTTGTGGGGTTTTTTTTAGCTAGAGGTTACAATTCCTACCTCCCAAAGTTCTTTATGGATTACTGATCTGAATAAAAACCAATAGACCAGAGATACACTCACCTTTGCTCCCTCTTCCCCTTTAAGAAAACTAATGCACAGTTAAATGAATAAAAGCTAGGCAAAAAGAGAAAAGAGAGTATAGGTAATCCACAATCTTTCTATCCAGTCCCTGACTGCTCAGGGACATATACAATATTTTATAAGTATTACTTAAATACCAGAAAGTTGATACTCTGTTTTGTTCCACAAAACTCAAAAAGTGATCATGTTAAACATCAAGATATAAATCATACTCAAAGTACAGTAATAGAAAATTTCACTAAGATTGTCTTGCTTGCCGCCATTCCCATAATGATCACAGAAAACTTGCATCCTGGAGTTTAAGTTTATTGCACAGAAGAAAACTATAGTTCTGGCAAAGGGGAATATTCAATTAGCATTTATTGATATATTTATATCAACTATCAAAATACCTTTACTGAGGTATTTCTGTACTGGTCAGTTAAGAGCTACTACCGAAAACTCTCAGTGACATTCCTTTTCCCTGGACACTCAAAGCAGTCCCCACCCAATCCCCTACTCTCACCAAGATGCCTCCAGATGTCCTCATGCTTCACCAATCACAGGGATAAAAAACTAGCACGGCAACATTCTTCCAAAGTCTGTTACGATTGAAATTTATGATGTGATAGGGAGGTTCACCAGTTATCAAATATTTAAAATGTCAGCCTGGCTATAGTGTCATTATCATTTCTATGACAGGTTTGCCCTTTGCCCTGCTTTATTGGATGGTTACACACGTGTATCTATGGAGAAGACAAAAGACTTTTCTTTTCTCAATAAAGAAATTGAATTTTATGTAGACTTTATTGAAATAAAAAGATGATTTATTCTCATCTGATAATAGACATAAGCCTTCCTTTGCTGAAACCAATTAGATTGAAAATACCTTTGTTGTCAGCAGCAATGAAACCAAGGACATTCTCGTGTCTCAGCATCACCGTCTGGTAAATTTCTGCCTCGCGAAACCAGGATCTTTCATCTCTGGAGGAGAATATTTTCACAGCCACGTCTTCCCCACACCATCTTCCATGCCAGACCTCACCAAATCGGCCTTTTCCTACAATCTCCTGGAGGATAATCGTCCTGGCAATTGTTCTCTGAACCAGCAGAGGTAACCCTAACCGAAGAAAAGATGGGATGGATGGTGAAGAAAAGTAAGTGCCAAGAAAGAACTGTCAGAATGACCAGTATTTTCACATAAAAAGGCCAACATTTAAGCATTTTAATAATTTTACTGATGTTGAAGAAATATACACCTTTATACCAAAACTTTAATGTCAAAGCATGCTCAAAAAATATTCCAAATTCTCTTCTCATACTCACAAATACAAATTACTGGGACATAGCCTGCTGCTGCAGATGGCTGATCTTTCTAGAATTGCTGCTGAATTCCCTGATTTGTACATTAAAGCCAGTCAGATTACTAAGTACACAAAAGTATAAGAAATGCTGTTAGCCTTTAAAATAAAATATATTGGCTCCTACTACAACTGGGAATGCAGAAGAATTCTTTGAGAATTTTTTTAAACCAAATTAAAATTGGAAAGTGAATAATCAAATTCAACAATCAAGTAAGATAATCATGTTATCTAAAAGCAAGATGCAAAAGCTGAAACCGGTTTGGCTCAGTAGATAGAACGTTGGCCTGCAGACTGAAAGGTCCTGGGTTCGATTCCGGTCAAGGGCACATACCTTGGTTGTGGGCACATCCCCAGTAGTGGGTGTGCAGGAGGCAGCTGATCGATGTTTCTCTCTCATCAGTGTTTCTAACTCTCTATCCCTCTCTCTTCCTCTCTGTAAAAAAATCAATAAAATATATTTAAAAAAATAAAAATTAAACAAAATAAAAGATGTAATAATAGAAAATATCAAATGGATATTTTATGCAGAATAAAAAACATCAAAGAAGACATATTCAAAGTGCATGCAAATATTTAGATTCTTTGAATCAATAATTCTATCTCTATAATTCTATCCTAAAGATTCAATATAATTAATTGCAAAAAATCTGTTAAATTGTTTAATATATTATTTATAGAAAAAAATAAGGAAAGGTGTCTGATAATAGAAAATTATTAAATACTAGAGGCCTGGTGCATGAAATTTGTGCATGGTGTGTCCCCTCAGCCCGGCCTGCACCCTCTTGCAATCTAGGACCACTGGCTCCTAACAGCTCACCTGCCTGCCTGTCTTATCTCCCCTTACCACTCTGCCTGCCTGCCTGATCACCCCTAATTGCTCACCTGACTACCTGATTGCCCCTAACCACCTCTGTCTCAGCCCCCACCACAGTGGCTTTGTCTGGAAGGACATCCATAATGACGCCCGCCCGGAAGGTCGTTTGGCTGTCTGGTCTAATTAGCATATTATGCTTTTATTATCATAGATAGTGCAGAGATTAGGAGCACAAATAAGAAAAACCTGGTTTCACATTTCAGTTGTGCCACATGGTAACCACAGGCAAAGTTATTGAACTTCTCCAAGCTTTGGTTTCCTTGTCTGAAAAGGAGATAATAGTATCCCTTATCTCGTAGGTATACTGTGAACATTAGCAAGCATGTTAAGCTCTTAGCACAGTATCTAGCATATTACACACTCAATAATAGTTAGTCCTTAATGTCTTAGGTCAATTACTGAGAACCAATAATAATGATGCTGCTTATGTAGAGGTATGTCCTAATGATTTGGTTCAATGCTTTTGCTGTGTTAAACAAAATAGCACAGTAAATTCCTTCCACTTAAGTAAGTGTACCTAGCTATTCAAAATATGCACAGAGAAAAGACTGAAATAGGAAATATACTAAATGCTACTTCTATTTAGTGGCATCAAAGTGAACTGGGTATAATGTAAAATATTATACATTTTCTTAATTGCTATAGTGGGCGTATGACTCTTATAATTAGAGGAAAACAGACAAAAAGATCACAGTACAATGTAATGTGGAAAGTCATGTGTAGTTGTTGTCACTGTACTTGTTAGCGGGGAAACCCTCAGAGCAACAACTGTGCAAGCTCTGGAGGACTCACCGCTGCCCCTGACATGAACCAAGGTGCATTCACATGTTCTCATCCCCATGAGAACCACCCACCATGGCTAAATGAGCACAGACTGGAGGTTTGCTATCACGGTCTCAACAATTAGTCACTCCCCACAGCCATAAAGTTCTTCTTAGAGAATCTGGTGCAACTTGGTCATTTTAGGGGAGAGAAAATTGGGGGCTGCAGTCATCACGAAGTGGCCCAGGAATAAGCTGCTAGTGGGGAGGCAGATCTACAACTAAAATGCTGGTCTTCTGTCCAGACTCTTGCTCTCTCACCATTTGGTGAATAGGATGCATTTCTCCTCTGCTGGGGAGATTTCCAGCAGCAAACGATTCAGGCTATTTTTGTAGGCTACAGTGAGTTTTACCACTTGACTGCACACAATAAAAGTTGTACTAACAATGATTAAGCCAAATCTTAACCTCAGTCTCTCTCCTCCCTTCCCCAACACGAACCCACACACTCACAAAAACATCACCACCAACAATCGTTACCAACAAAAATGCAACAATATTTGGCTAGATAAGCCAATGTTTTCAAACTGAAAACTGATCAAGCACCCATCAATGCCACACACCAGGGACAAAGTAAGATGTGGCCTAAGGTACTCAGCACAGCAATCAAGTTGAGACTGTAAAACTCAATGAAAGTTGCCTTGGTATCATTCAAAGCAGCCCCCCAAGATAACCTACATAAGTCTTGGGTTATACACTTAGAGACTTAATTTGAAGATACATGGACGTTGCTTCTCCTCCTGGTTCATTTTATTCTTTTTCATGGCCTTTGTAGAAATGGATACCTGTCTGATGGAATGGCAACTTCCTGTCACTGTCCGTCAAAAGTGCTCTATCATGAGAGCAAAGCAGAGGCCTATCCAGTCTCCTAGAAGCCACTGAGACACTGTCCACTCTCAAAGACAGCCCAGGAACACGGCAGTCCATGTTCCTCTCTGGTGGGCATTACATCTCTTTGAAATCGGTTCCTGGCCAGGTCAAGGATAAGCTTCACAATTTTTTGTTTCTCAACATTTGACAAAGTGACCTCTCGTTTAAGGACACCGGACAATTAAGAGAAGCAGAACCGCCCGATCCTCTCTGCAGGGATTGGGAGGGGAGCTTTTGTGGCAGAAGCCTTGCTGCAGACAAACCAGCTCTGCTTATGAAAGGCAGCGGTCACTGCCAAGGACATATATGCAGCTGGCTTAGGGGAAAAGTGCCTAAAGCTCTTTTGAATTGTGCATTACAAAAGTCACCCATGCATGGGTACATTTACAGCTTTCTTTTTAGGATAATCTAAAGAGGAGAGTTCAGCAGTCAATAAATCCAGACTCAGGTTTAAAGACACAGCGAAGGAGTAAAAAACAAAACAAAAAAAAAACAAAACACCTTAATGTGAATTTTTTATTTTATGTCCTGGCTCATGGCTGCTTTGTTAAATTAAATTAACAGTCTCCAATTATAAAATCTCTAGAACGTTTATTAGAAAGGAAAAACCTTGGTCATATTAAACATATTCAAAGAGTCGCTCCAAAATACACATTTCAACCTAACACGGGTGAGCTGAAATGTCTGGGTGGTAATTAAGTAGATGGCTTTTTAATCACATGAACCTCCTGAAGAAATTATTTAAGGTTTCAAGGAACTTGGCACCAATGAGAGCTCTCTGTGCACTTACTCTGTGCCTACACTGTTGCCAGTGCTCAAAATGTTAGGGCATAACAGGCCCCCAAACGCAATACTCAAGGAAGAAAAAAAGTAGTGAACTGAACACGTTTTACTTTTAAAGAAAGAATACCATCTTTCTAGCCAATAATGTAATTTGGATTTCATTTTATAAACTTTGTATTGTAGTTTGGAGACACTTTGCCAACGCTCCTCCCCTGGACACATGCCACCTAATTTGGGCAGTGAGGGTGTCAGTGCTGAGATGTTGGTCAGTGAGAGAGCAGGCAGTCTTGCCTCAGAAGCAGCCAACTACCTGGGCTCTCTGGGTGATACGATGGGGCCTCTCTTTTCTGGACTCTGTGCTGATACCATAGCTATATCATATTACATATGATGCTCATACAGATGCTCGCACCCCTCTGTTGTTAACCCTTGTTAACTGTGCCTGTCTGTGTGCTCCTTGAAATATGTTTGGGGTCATCATCCTTAATAATCCTCCCAAAGCAAGGGGCGTGCAGGGGCATCTGACGTGGCTCACCTAGCCTCGGCCTAGTCCACATTCGGGCAGCATCGCATGCTGACAGGATTTCTGGACTCATACGTGAGAGCAGGGAGCCTGCTGCCCCTTAGGGAGTTTGTTATCACACGGGAAACTCTGCTCTGTCACCTGAAACCCACAGACGCTTTGTGCTACGAGAAAGGCTCATTTAGGCCAGAACACAGCCCTGTCCCTGAGTTGTGTCAGCATGTCCTGGAGTTCCATGGAAGAGGAATAGAATTATCACACAGCCTCTGCAGCAAAAGCCAGCACACCAGTGCTCTGCTCTTCCCTTTCATCTTTCATTTCTGTGCTTTAAGAACATATTCTTGATTTTAATTTCAGGTCAACTCTCTGGGAACTTCACCCACACATCCCAGGGGCACCTACAGATTCGGAAGACCTTCAAAACCACAAGGGAAGATGCTCCAAGTACATTACTTTGCATAACTGAGTTCTCTTGCTCAGAACTCAGCTCCTTAGATACAGTAACTCCTTTGTGCACAGGAACCATTACCGGGAGAGCAACACTTTTTCTTTCTGATCATAATGGAGAGGGGAGAGCAGAGAGACTCTTTCATGCTTCAGGAATTCTGAAGGACTGTCAGAGTACGAATCTGAATACCTAAAGGCTCAAAAGCCAACAGAAAGGACTTAATTCTTTAGGCCATGATGGTTTTTTTCTCTTCTTTTTAATCCCAAAATAAACTTTTATGTCAGAACTTAGCATGTAGTACCAGATCAAGCACTTAAAAGGAAAGAATTCATATTGAGGCAATTTTTTGTTAAAAAATGGTTTTTACTGCTTTCTTTACTTTTTAATCCTCACTCAGGTATATGTTTTTATTTATTTTAGAGAGAGAAGAAGGGAGAGGAACATTTATCAGTTGCCTCCCATACACACCCCGGCTGAGGATCAAACCTACAACATTTTGGTGTACTAATATAGGACAATGCTCCAACCAACTGAGCCACCTGGCTAGAGCTGTTTTTATTTATCTATATACAATATATAAAAGCCTGTGACCAAACGACTGAACGACCGGTTGACTGGTAGCTATGATGCACACTGACCACCAGGGGCCAGACACTCAACAAAGGAGCTGCCCCCTGGTCAGTGTGCCCCCACAGTGGGAGCATCACTCGGCTGACCGGACAGGTGCCAGACGCTGGACTCATGGCTGGCCAGCGCAGCTGTGGCAGCTGTGAGCCTCTCCTGCCTGTGTGACAGTGCTACCAAGTGGCGGCAGCAGGTGCAAAGGGCCGAGATGAGCAGAAGTGGTGCAGCACCTGGCCCATGCTCAGGCTCCTCCCCTGCCGCCTGATGCTCTTTGTACTATTATATCCCTTGGGGGATGTTGGATTGCCACTTTCCACCCCAGGTGACTTGCGGGAATTGGGGGCCGAAAACGGCAGTCCAACATCCCCCAAGGAGTCCTGGATTGCAAGAGTGCAGGCCAGGCTGAGGGACCCCACCAGTGCACAAATCTGTGTACCAGGCCTCTAGTATTTAATTAAGAGTTTCCTTACTTAAAACATGGACTATGGGCACATACCAGATCCGGATCCAGAGGCAGTCACATCGTAAATCAGATCTTTCAGAGTTTTCCCAGCATTTACCAGGTTGCATTCAGAGAGGGGCTCCTCCACATTCTGCCTCTTTTTCTTCCTGTTGCTGCACTGTCGACCTTGGCATGCCCAGATGCTCAGCACTGCCACCAGGGACAGCAGGCACACTGGCACAGTAATAACAATGGTCAGCTCCATGGGTCCGAGTTTGGGGGCATTTGGTGAGGCTGCAGTTTGAAAAAAAATATGACCATCAATCAACCCATTTCACATATTTTAGAAATTGGAAATGTGATCACCAATATTTTAGATCTATAATGTGCTTCTACGCAGGGTACACTGATGATAGTTGGCAAAGGCTCAGAGTGCTATGAATAAAGATGGGAAAGGAGGCTGAGGTCAGGCTGCAGCTAGGAATGGCTATGCCAGGTGCCAATGGAGACAGAATTAGGACCAAGAAAAGCACTCACACAGGGGACCCTTTCTTCCTTCCTTCTTTCCTTCTTTCCTTCCTTTCTTCCTTCCTTCTTTCCTTCCTTCCTTCGTTTGTTTGTTTGTTTGTTTATTGTTTATCTATGTTAATCCTCACCCAAGGCTATTTTCCATTGATTTTCAGAGAGAGTAGAAGAGAGAGAAACATCAAGGTGAGAGAAACATATTGATTGGTGGGCTCATACACATGCCTCAACTAGGGCGAGGGATTGAGGTATGCGCCCTTCATCAGAAATAACCTGGGACCCTTCAGTCCACAAGCCAACGCTCTACCCCCTGAGCCAAACCAGCCTGGGCCAGGTTCCTTTTTAAAATCTCTAAGCATTTGACATGTTTCTCCTATTTTCTCTCCATTTTTCAGCAGTCCATTCTTAGAGCACATTCATTCAGATTCATTCAAGTGATTACTGAGCTCCTGCAATAATATGTTGCCACCAATCCAGGTGTGGAGATACGTTGGTGAGAGAGACTAAATCCTTGCTCTTGTGACACTTATGTTCCACACATCCAGCAAGAGGAGATAAGTGCTACAAAGAAAGAGGAAGTAGAAGAAAGAGACAGGGTGATGGACAACACTACTTTAGATAGAGTGGTCCTAGGAGGCTGCTCTGGCAGGTGTCAGGGAGCCAGCACGGGTGGTGTCTCAGGGCAGTGTGTTCCGTCAGAGGGACAGCAGGAGTAAGGTGCTCTGAGATAGAGACCTACTGGTGTGTTCAGGACAACCTAGGCCTGGAGCGAGGTAGATCAGATGACAGAAAGAAATGGGGCCACGGAAGAAAAAGAGAGGAAGGACATGGGGGGGTCTTACGGGCTAAGGACTGGGAATTGGATTCTAAGTAGAAGCTCTTGCAGGATTTTGAGTAGGCAAGTGAAATATGATCCAACTTAATATTCTGTGTGGCAGCTATGTGAAGTCACTAGGAGCACAAGAAGAGACAAATTAGAAACCTAATGAAATAATCCTGGCAGGAAATGATGGTCTTGGCTGACAACCCTGTCTAAAATAGTCCTTCCTTCTCATTCCCCATTCACTCTCTGCTCCCTTTTCCTGTTTTATTTTAATTCCTGGATCTTACTGCCACCTGGCACATCATAGATTCATTTATCTATTATCTGATTTCCTCCACAGAGCATGCGCTTCATGGAAGGAAGAACTTTGCCTGCTTTGTTCTCAACGATGCCCCGTGTTTACAAGGGCAGATGGTCAATAACTAGATCTTGAATAGCAGAGTCACTAAAAGTTTTACTAGTTTAGTGCTTTTGTTAAGTAAAGGATAAGAGTTTTTCATTTCAGAAAAATAAATATGATAGTTGAAACCACCTAACATCGGGGGATATAATTAAACTTTAATTTTAAAATACATGTAGCCAATTTTTTTAAAGTTCGTCCTATATCTAAGAAATCTAATTAATTTAGAAAAAAACAGTGATACATGAAAAATCTATGATGTCAGATATTGCTTGTGTTTTTCAAAGAAGTTATTTTGACACTTGAAATAAGCACATAGTTTGTTTTTTCCACAAACTGCAGACAGCCTCAGCATCAATTTAATTTTATCCTCTAGTCCTAGCAGCAGGGGATGTTGATTTTTGTTTTCAATAAACCTTAGGGTATGTTTAATAGAATAGGGATACACAGTTCTGGAGTCTTAACCTAATTTTAGATTCTCGAACATCAAGGAGAAGAAAAAAAAAATGCAGGCTTTGGAGAGAGAGAAGCAGGTTGTATGTGGCTATTGTGCCTTGAGCAAACTGCACCCTCTCCCAGCACCCCTCCAGTTGCTCCATAAAGGCCAGTGCGAGGGTTAGTTAGACATGAGGCATCGAATTAATAGCATAACACCTGCACCTTACAGTCTAGACAAATTGCGGTGATAATGGACCTTGTGAATTAAGTCACTCCTCAGACTTCCTTCTTTGCAACTGACAACCATAAGTTATGTTAAATGTAATTACTTTTTACTTACCATTGCAACCAGAATATATTAATATAATTTTAAAACAATTATTACTTGATTCTAAAGGAAAAATAATAAAAATCCTCAAAATTGTGTTCATAGATGTTTCATTATTATCCTAAAAATAGTAGTCTGGCTACAACCAATGAGTAAAAGATTTAAAGCTGTTAAGTGAACTTTGGAAACAAACATAACTCATGCTCTTCCACTTTGCCTCCTGCATTTTGGCAGATCAACAACTTGCCTTCTCCTGAGTGTTTCAGGATTCCTGTGAAATCATTAGAAGTTGCACAGGCACATACGGGGAGAGCTTGGCCTTAAGTGTTCCTATGACCAAGTGTAAGCGTTTTCTAACTTGACTTTGCGTTAAAATCATTAACTATGGCACTTGCAATTTCTGAAGTTTGCTTATGAAAGCATTATTAAGCATTTCACATGGATCTTTCAAATTTACATTTCAAGTTTTATCTATATTTTTATGTGCTCACAAAAGTATTCTAAGAAAGCCACAGAATACACTTGATCACTTGCAATTCACATAAACATCTATTTAAACACTTACATTTTTTAAATATAATAGAATTCCACTATTGGATACATTTATATGGGTAAATTTTATTTTGATATTGTTATTAGGAGCTATCAATATAAACATTACAGTTAAAAAGCTTATTGATTCCCTCATTTGAATAAATGCATTGCTCAGATCGTCACTATGGCAACCAATAAGGAAGCAAAAGGTCAGCAACCCTGAAAATAGAATAATGCTCTAGAGAAGGCTGCTGTTTTCAGGAATGTTTATTACACAAGGGTAATGTTTCTTTTTTGTGTGAATAAATTTACTGATACAAGTTAGTAAGAAAAAAAGATTACTCAGCTAGAAAAACACTAGCAACACCGTCCAGAAAGACCTCCTGAAACACTGAGCAATTTTTTAAAGCAAACATTTGTAAAACAGTCTTCTAAATCAAATGTTGATTGTCATCCCCATGGGAGATAAATGAAGAAAAACTGTAGTCTACATGAGTCATGGTAGAAGGAGACAATGAGTCATGGTAGAAGGAGACAATGGTGCAGTGAAGAAGGCATTTTGATAAGTTACCTCTGATTAGCATATTAATTTTTCAAGCAGGTTTTACTTTTTTCTTATCATAAGAGAACATGCATTATTTGGTCATTCCCAATTTTGGAGATTGTCAATTGAGATGCATTCTCCATGGGGGTAGGGGGAGATATATTAATCCCAAAAGTGAGGTCTGGGAAATGCTGCATTGCTAATTAAAGTTACCTCAGTCCCTAGTAATTAAATAGAAGAGGATGGGGAGGAAAAGAGAGGAAAGCACTAGTCTGGATGAGTCAGAGCCTAGCCCACAAATACCTCCCTTACGTAAGTTCCACATGCATTAAACCAAGACAATGCAGAGAAAGGGAGTAGTAACAAATGAATAATTTATAATTTTATTCCTCAACAAAACAGAGTGACACACTAAACAATGGGAAATCTACCAAACCTTCCTGATGACCATCTTTTAACCTGCCATTATAAAGCATCTTTATATGTGGGTACCATCATTTCAAACATTTGCTTGATGGTAATGAAAATACATTTCTCATTGGTTTCTTGTTGCTTTACTAAATTGGTTCAAAGACTAGATCCAGATGGATTGGCTTGTATAATGTTGCACTGAGGACTCTCTAAGGGGGGTGCCAGAGAAGGTGGGCACCACCCATTCCCTCGTGGCATTTAGACTCTACTAATGAATACATGATCCAGCGAGGGGACAATTCCAAAACAACTTCGCAAGTAAAAATATGAAGGAAACCTTATGTAATATCAAGGGAGGTGGGAGGGGAAAAATCATCATGAAGAGCTCCATTCATGATGAATCAGTCCAATATAAAATAATATGTAACTAATGAGTCTAAGGAGCTAAGTCACAAACACCTTATTTTTTTGTTTTCATGTCTCATTTTAATTCTGGAGTATAAAGACCTTTTTAATTAAAGTATAGGTGACATGCAATATTATATTAGTTTCAGGTGTACAGCATAGTAAAATATGTTTTTGGTATTTTATTAGAGACAAGAAGCCCAATGCACGAAGATTCATGCAAGAATGGGCTTTCCTTCCCCTGGCTGCCAGCACCGCCTTTGCTCCAGCTGGAGCTGCCTTTCCACCTTCCCACTCCAGGCTGCTTTGGGCCTATGTATGCAAATTAAGCCGCCATCTTTTAGGTTGATTTGCATACTCACCCCTGATTGGATGGTAGGTATCACGAAGGTATGGTCGATTTGCATCTTTCTTTTATTAGTATAGATTGCATTGAACTATAGATTGCTTTGGGTAGTATGGACATTTTAATGATGTTAATTCTACCGATTCATAAACACAATATATTCTTCCATTTGCTTGTATTTTCCTCTATTTCTTTTTGCCAGTGCCTTGTAGTTTTCTGAGTAGAGGTCTTTGGAGCACAAACATTGGTGTGTGTTTTTTTTATTTTATTTATCTAATATCCCCATGCAATTCTATACTCGCTTATGGCAGGCAGCCCCTCCACACCCTGAGCCTGTCTTAGCCTCCTGTGTCCTCATAGTCACCCTTATAAATGTCATCACGAATAATCCAGTTAGAAGTTATTTCAGTTAGATCCCTCCAACATGCTCCACTATAATGAAGAGCAAATGGTCTCCCTTTTTCTCAGAGCAAGAATAATCATGTCAAACAATTTGGTTTTGATTAGCATGGACCTCTACTACTGAAGAGCATCAAAATA